GAGGAAATCCTTAAACACAACCCAGATAGAGTTAAACATGTGTAAGCACCACTGATGTGAAAGGGAGAATAAATCACTTGTTTAATTTTCTTGATAACTCTAAAACCAGTGGAACCAACAATGTTTACATATGGCTGGAATTGTGCCCTTTGCTTATTAAGTAACGTAGTCTCCATTATTTCATCCCATTTATAAATTCCACAAAGATACCAGTGATTTACTTCTCAGGATTCTTTGGAGGACAAAGAAGGATTCTGAAGGAAATTGCATGTCAAAAATATGACTGGATTCAGGGTGGAATTTTTATGTTTCTAAAACAAAAATACCATGGGCTATATTAAATTGTACTCCAAAACCTGAGTTATGTGTCTACTCATTGTGCCTGGTATGCAGTAGAATAGAAGAGTGCTGAGGGTGTTGCCTTTTTCAAAAAGGTTATGGATTAGTTTGCTAGTACAGTTTTGCATTTTCATGAGATGCTAATTGAGCTGTGTTTTTCCAAACAGCAGAAAGGAAATTGGCAAATGCCTCCTTAGAATAAATATTTGATTTCTCTGCTTTAATTGTCTTTAAAATGAGAATTTATAAAATGGGCATCTTTTATTATGTCAGTATGCCTGCTTTGCTTCTGTTGTAGTATACTTAAGGCAAAAAGCTTATATGACATAGAAAACAAAACACCACATTTGTGCTTCGTCCTGTTATGATAAAAGACTCACAGTTTTGAAACCCTATTGAATGTGCATGCCACAGGAATCAGTTTATCTCTTAAAACACAGGATATAGTTTAGTTTTCTTGCATTCGTTTATTTAAAACAGGCAGACTGTTAACCAAGCTTTTATGTCTGAGATTTCCCACCCTGAAGTGGGTTCTGCTAGATAACCTGACAGTGAGAGAGAAAATCTAATATTTCAATGCCTTGTGTGCAATATAAGTATTAATGGTGTGCACTCTCTCACTCATTTTCTCTGTTTAAATGTATCAAATGATTCTTGATGGATAGTAGAATCTATTGATTTTTGTGTGTGTGCAAAGTATTCTAATTATAAAATTGTCAGGACTAAAAGGCAATCTGACTGATGAAAGTTCCAATCTACATCTGTAAGGGTCAGTGCCCACATGAATAATAACTTGTTAGTTGTGTTTAGATTTATTGTGTGCAATGAACAAAGAAAAAAATAGAACATAAATATAAAAAGATTCCTGCTGGGGTCTGGGATGGGGAAAGGCGAGCAGTCCACACCATACTTTGAGGCTGCACCTCATCCATTCATTCCAGTGGGCCTTGCGTGGGAGCCTGATGGAAGTCTTATTGAAATGAATGGAAGGAGCACAGAAGCAGTGCTTGGTTGTTTTCCAGAAAACCTAGGAAGGAAACCTGAAACCCTGGAATTTCAGTGCCCGATAAAAGCACCAGCTTTGCTTTTCTGTTTGAGACCTGAATTGTGGCACCTGCTCCCTGAATCCATTTGAAAGCAATAAATGTGTCAGCTCTCACTGACCCTATCATGGGGAAATTGGCAGAATTAATATTCTTCTGATGCTTATATTCATAGCATTAAGGAATGGTCCTTACAGGCTACATGAGTGACAGTATCCTCACAGCTACTTTGAGTGTGTGTGTATGTGTGTACACAAAGAGAGAGAAAGAAGTGTTTTATTCCCCCCTCCCATTCCTGTCTTTAAGGTTCTCTAAACCTGTCCTGGATTCATAGGGTTTTGTGCTTTTGATTACTACTGCAGGGGGTTCCACAACTGGCAGTGTGTTTGTCAGAAGAGCCAGAAGATCATATTAAGGCAGCAGCTGCATGGTCTTTGGGACAAATTGGGAGACACACTCCAGAACATGCTCGGGCTGTTGCGGTAGCAAATGTGTTACCTGTGTTGCTTTCTCTCTATATGGCAAGTGAGAGTTCAGAAGATCTGCAAGTCAAAGTAAGCCAATTTACTTTTCCAATTAACAGCAATAATTTGTTCTTAGAATTTATCAAACCAACTTTGATCCATGCCAATACATGGACATTGTCCAGTTAAAGATGCATAATAATAGAATGACATTGGGAAGAGAACTATGTATGCTGCCTTGAACTCCTGAGAGGAAAGGTGGGATATACATGTAGATAATAAATGAATATTAACAAATTAAATATTCAGAGAGTAAGACATCTCTGAAAGATTGAAGCAATTGAGTAAGTTCATAGACAGGCTTTGAAATATCTCAGTCCAAGCTTGGATGTTATTTAGGAAATAATGGAGAACTGGAATAGTGGCAAACCTGAGGGCAAAGGGGCCTAGCCCTATGTCTAAACTTGTTGCAAATAGCTGATTGGTGGTATTTGGTATGTTCAACTGGGGCTACACATCTGAGAGCCAAACTGGGCTGGGCAATTTGTGTGCAGAAACCGTTTGCATGGACAATTCTTCAGCTAGGCCCCAGAATGTATGGATTGGCTCAGTTATATCCACTGGATTAACAGTGGTAAAGTATCTAAAAATCACATTAATCAGCAAAATGTTAGCTATCAGTTGATGAATTAGCAAAACTATGAACACAATGACTGTGAAAAGCTTGTGATCTACATCATTGGAGGGATGCCTCTGTCAATGAATCATGGGTATTGAAGGTATATTTTTATACAGGACAGAAAGGGATGGAGTTGACTGCAAAGCTTCTACTCATGAGCAGAGCATTTAGAGAGATCCTCATAAGTCTTATCAAAGCACTGTTTCTGTCCTGGTGTCCCTTGTCAGCACAGGCTTAGGCAGAACAGTGGTCTGTTACAGAAAATAGGAGGCCAATATGCATCTTCTGTATCCCCCTCAAGCTCTCTTCCTGCACTTGGCCACAGTATCCAAACAAGAGGTAGAGCCAAGATCCTGTTGAGCCTTATAGGACCTCATGTGCATTATCCATATGGGAAGAATCATGGTTTCCATGTTTGACTGTGCTTTTTCATTTTATTGAATCAGATTCTTCCATCATCTCTATGCTCCATTTTAAGATTAATTTTCTATCTGCTGCTTTATTATTGCCTGCTGTTTTATTATTTAATTATTATTGTTATAAATAAAATGTCAGCAACAATAATATATTTAACAATGTATCGGTAATTGTAGTAGTAGCTATTGTTGTGCCTTCAAGTTCTTTCCCACTCTTTTATTCCCTAAGGGGTTTTCTTGGCAAAATTTGTTCAGAGGTGGGTTGCCTTTACCTTCCTAAATAATAGACATTAAGAATAAAACAGTGAAATTGCAAATACAAAATTAGTCTTAAAATGCCATCTTGATAATCTTGGAACAATTTTTTTTTTAAATTTAAAATTTAATTAATTTTCATAACATCATAAAGGAATAAGGAACCATGGGATTAAGGTAATGTGTATTATAGGTAAAGATAAGTTTATATTATAGTGTTGTGGATATACTTTTAATTTGTGAAACCAGAAATATATTTGTCAAATTGGAAATATTTCAGCAAATTCAAAATATATTATGAGCCAGAGTGCAACTGCAAAATTTTGTACACTAACTACATGTGATTATATAATCTGCATATTATTTTTCACAACAGTAGCTGATATTAAGTTGTTGATGGGAATATCGTATGGGTAAACTTCATAATTTTCTGAATTTGATCTGATTTAGCTTCTGGTAGTGGGGAAAAAATAAAAACAAAAACAAAAACTGGGGATTTATACCCAAAGAGACTGTTCATCACCTCTGCCTGGTTCTTTTTAGCAGGAGATGTAATGGATTCACCTGAGACCTCAGTCCACCTGTAGTGCAGTTCTACTGTCTTCCACTTTGCCAAGCATTATTATCTTTTCGTCTCATAATATCCCCAAAGTAGGACACCCTCAGTTTAATCACTTTGGTTTCAGGGAGCTCAGGCTTGATTTGCTCTACAATCCAATTATTTTGGGGGGTTGGGGGGGAGCTCATAATATTCCTAGAGCAGGGGTAGGCAACCTAAGGCCTGGGGGGCCGGATGCGGCCCCCTGAGGCCTTTGGACCGGCCCCAGGCCAGTCCTGCTGCCGCTACCACCGCCTGCCATGATGATATTG